AGCTGGTCAATCTGCCCGCGGAACGAGGCGTCAGAGGCGCAGCCGGCCCATCGGGGCAGGGGCACTCGGATTCAGGCGAGAGCAGATACGACGAGCCCATGACGTCCGTCTGCAATGGCGCACCAGCTTGGGTATGGCTTGGCGGCCGTACGCCAGATGGCTCTTTGTTGGATCCACGTCGCGCGGCAGCACCGACGAGAGCAGCGCAGCCGCCTCCCTCGAGTCGGCCGGCATCCCGACGCTCGTGCGCGGCTCCTTTGTCGTGAGGACTGCGAGCGACGGGTGGCTCTGCAGCTTGAGCCCCTGCGCCATGCTGGCCTCGACCGCCGCCTCGATCGGGTCCAGATTCGTCACGGGTTTGGAGGTCTCGATGGCCGTGTCCATTTTGTCGGCACGAGGGCAGGTGCGACAAGCCTGCAGCGCGCAGATCGGGCTGCGGGCGGGCGGTCGCCTTTGCTGGGGCAGAGGGCCCCACGCCCTTCCCACAAGGGCGCGCGGCCAGCGTCGGCCGGGTAGGCGAAGGGGCCGTCCTTGTGCCGCCCGAGCGCCACGGCTGAGCTTTCCCAAAGATGCCGCAGACAAGGTCGAAACGACAACGAACGGCTCGTGATCACGACGCCGACAGCCGGCAGGGCTCGGTGCCGGGCGCCGACGTGGGCGCCGTCGACATGGACGCCGACTCGTCGCTCGCCACGTCGGTCGCCGATACCGTCGTCCGCGCGGCAGCGCTCGGCGGCCGCGGGTCGCTGGATACGCCGCCGCCGGCGGCCAGCCAGCAGGCGAGCGTCGCCGACGGCACGTCCGGTGCGGCACACCAGTCCGAGTGGCAGGCAACCATCGCCGCGGCACTGCCCGCCATCGTCAGCATCCGCTTCTCGCAAGTTGCGGCCTTTGACACCGAGGGCGCCGACACCTCCGAGGCAACGGGCTTTGTCGTCGATGCCAAACAGGGCCTGATCCTGACCAACCGTCATGGTGCGTTCGCCCTCCTTCGGTTCGCCGAGGCGCACGGGTGCCTTCTGGGAACCGGACGTGATCCCTGTCCCTTATGCTCTGCCTTGCTGCCTTGCTCCTGCTGGAGGCGCCTCCCATGGTGCGCGAGGCGCAGCTTGCCGCTGACAGATGTGGATGCAGTCGCTTGCGCAGGCCCGTTTGTGGGCGAAGCCATCTGGCACGACCACGAGGAGGTCGATGTGTTCCCGGTGTATCGCGATCCCGTGAGTGACTGCGCACAGCTCCGCGCTCTACCCGACGGGGCTCTGACCCTGAGCTGCCGCCGTCGCCGTCGCCGTCGTCGCACTCCCGCCAGGTCCACGACTTTGGGTGCGTTCGCCGCCGATGTCGAAGCGCCGATCGCGTCTGTGTTGTCTCGGCGATGAGCGCCCCCTGACCCGCCGCACACATCGCGCAGCTTCCTGCGATTCGATCCATCCAAGATCCGGTACATCAAGGTCAAGGAGGTCGAGCTTGCGCCGGCGCTTGCGCAGGTTGGCCTCGAGATCCGCGTGGTCGGGTGAGCAGGCCTCCGCACGGCCGCGACCTTGTGTAGTCGGCTCGACTAACCCACTTGTGGCAGCAACGACGCTGGCGAGAAACTCAGCATTCTCGCAGGCTCCATCTCGCGCCTTGATCGCAACGCTCCCGTATACGGAGAAATGACGGTGGGAGTTTGCTCGAGGCGATGCTGTGCGTGGGTTTGTGTCGATTGTCGCTGACTCGTCTCTTGGCTCAATGACGACAGTACAATGATTTCAATACGTATGCGTCCGCCTGAAGCGCATGATCTGTCGGTACTTGCGAAACGCTTACTCATCGTTGCGATCGATCTTAGATTCTACCTGCAAGCGGCATCGAGCACATCCGGAGGCTCTTCGGGGTCCCCGGTGCTGAATATCGAAGGAAAGGCCGTTGGCCTTCAAGCTGGCGGCCACACCAAGGTCTGCGCAGCTGCTTTCAGACTCGACATCCAGCGCCACCGAGCTGACCTCCCCCCGCCGCCGCCGCCAATCACTACAGGCTGCGACCGACTTTTTCTTCCCACTTGACCGTGAGTTTGTGGCTCTGCACAAACGCGAACAAGCTCTATCGTGCCTTGCAGTGTCTCATCATGCTATTGCCCGCAGGCGTCAAGCGCGCGCTCGAGTATATTCGGAAAGGCCAAGATGTCCCGCGCGGCACCGTGCAGGTGCAGTTCCTGTTAGTCTGAGCGCACCGAGTTCGACAGTGAGAAACAGCGTGACTAACTGGCAGGTGCTTTGCGCAGACATCGGCCTTTTGACGAGGTTCGGCGCCTAGGCCTCCGCGACGAGACCGAGGCGTCCGTGCGCCGCCAAGAGCCGACCGAGATTGGCATGCTCGTCGCCGAAGTTGTCGTTCCCAAAGGCCCGGCACACAATCTCATTGAAGAAGGCGACGTGCTCGTGAGCATCAACAACAAGCTCATCACCAAGTTTGTGCCGCTGGAGAACATCCTCGACAGCAGGTATGTTTTCGTCTCAGTTTTGGTTTGTTTGTCGTTTGCGCTGACGTGACTACGCAAACAGCGTCGGCGAGACAATCAAGTTCAAGGTCGAACGCGGTGGCGAAGAGCTTGAATTTAATGTTGTCGTCCAAGATCTGCACTCCATGTGAGTGGCCTTGGCCTGCAGAAGTCCATGTTTTAGCGTTCTGACGGCCTGCATGCTTAGCACGCCAAACTGCTACGTCGAGATTGGTGGCGCCAAGGTCAACAGCTTATCCTACCAACTTGCGAAGCAGTATTGCGTGCCCGTGCAAGGCGTGTATGTGGCCGACTCGGCCGGCATGTTACGTCTCGAGAGCGGCACCGATCACGGCTGGATCATTTCCAGCGTCGACGGTATTCCGACGCCAGACCTGGACTCCTTTATCGACGTATTCAAGAGCATCCCCGATCGCTCGCGCGTGCCAGTCACGTACTATAGCATCTCAGATGTGCATACCAAGTCGGTTTGTGTCATTAACGTCGAGCGGCACTGGAGCCCGTTCCGCCTTGCAAGGCGCAACGACAAGACGGGCCTGTGGGACTACACCAATCTGGGCGAAGCCCTCCCGCCCAAGCCGATCGAGCCGAGAAACGCAACGTTCACCAAGCTCGATGAGAGTCTCGGGCCAGCAAAGTACCTTTTCGAGTCGATGGTCAAAGTCTCGATGGACATGCCGTGCCGCATCGAAGGATTTCCAAAGACTCGGGTGGGTGCTGTGCTCTCGCACCGCTGCCCATCAACCGTCGTGACGCTCACACATTCGCCATCTAGAAACAAGGTGCAGGACTGATCCTCGACGCGGAGCGCGGCCTTGTTGTTGTCGGCCGCACGATCGTACCGTTCAACTTGGGCGATGTGACGCTCACGTTTGCGGACTCGATTATCATTCCTGGCAAGGTCGAGTTTCTGCATCCGACGCAGAACATTGCGGTCGTGTCGTACGATCCCAAGCTCATTGGCACGACGCCGGTCCGCAGCGCACCAATCAGCCCAACGCGGCTCGCGCAGGGCCACCGCGTAACTCTGGTTGCACTCAACCACAACCAGCACCCGATCTGCATCGAGACGACGGTCACGGATGTCAGCCCCATCACGATCCCCATCAACGCAACGCCGCGATTCCGCGCTGTCAACTTTGGTGGGCTTGCGCAGGCGCAGCACGCGGCTTGATTCCTAGTGCTGACGTGCGTGCGCAATACTCCAGACTCGATCAATCTGGACACGCCTCTCGCACACCAGTGCTCGTCGGGCGTGCTGGCCGATGCCGAGGGCCGCGTACAGGGCCTGTGGCTCAGTTTTCTTGGAGAGCGCACCCAGGCAGGTCGCGACAACGAGTACCACATTGGCGTCGACGTGCGGTTTGTGGTCGACACTATCCTGCCCAAGCTCGCCGCAGGCGTGAAGCCGCGGCTCGTGGGCCTCGCCGCAGAGTTTGTCACGATCCAAATATCGCAGTCTCGCAACATGGGCGTCACGGACGAGTGGGTCAGCCGCATCGAGGAGGCGAATCTAAGACGGCGCGAGCTGTTCATGGTCAAGAAAGTGGAGACGTACTCAAAGACCTCGACGGTGCTGCACGACCTTGACATTGTCCTGGCAGTTCAGGGCCGAGTCGTAACGCACGTGGCCGAGCTCGATGTGCGCGAAGACTGGGGCGAGTCCATTGATATGGTGATTCTTCGCAACAAGGTCGAGATGCATGTCTCGGTGCCAACCGACGAGATGGATGGCGACACAACCAAGCATCTTGTGATGTGGGCCGGTGCCGTGCTGCATGAGCCGCATCGCGCCGTGATGCAGCAGTCCAACACGCTGCCGTCGCGGGTTTACGTCTCAACCCGCGCCAAGGGCTCGCCCGCGTACGTGTACGGCATCACAACAACGCAGTGGATCACTCATGTCAATGGAAAGCCAACCCCGACACTTCGCGAGTTTGTCGAGGTGGTCAAGGACTTGCCCGACAACACGTACGTGCGAGTCAAGACTATGAGCTTTGACTTGGTGCCGTGGGTCCTGAGCGTCAAGGTGCTGCGCCACTACTGGCCCATATCTGAGATGGTCCGTGATGAGTCCTCAGAGACAGGCTGGCGTACAAATGTTATCACGAGCGGATAGCCAAATGAAGCATGCGACGAGTATTTTTGGACTCGAGCCTTTTAAGTAAGACTAGCGCAGGCGGCCGAGCCAGCCCTGGTCGTGCGGCGGCAGTGGCGGCGGCAGCAAGCATCCAGCCGGCGAAGCTCAGAATCCGGCCGCTTCAGCCAGGCAACGGGCATCGCACACCTCGGATGGCTCGCTGGGATGCGCTTGCCGGACGCCGAGTGTTGGTGGATCTCTATCATGCGCACATGCATGCATTCGGCGTGCGGGGTGAGCAGCGCGGGCCACGGGAGGCAGCCATCGTCGCCTTGTTTTCCAACACCTGGCGAGACGGGTCGCAGATTTCAGGCTTGTGTGCCGCAGGATTGTAGTGTACCACGATTTTTCGATCAGCGTGCCTTCTTAGCTCAGTGGCAGCAGCGCTTGCCTAGTAAGCAAGAGGTCGAGAGTTCAAATCTCTCAGGAGGCATTTTCGTTTTCGCAACCACCTTGCTTCCTGAGGACGCGCACGCTGCCGGTCTTTGCCGCTCGGCGCGTTCTCGCCGGTCGGACATCTCATCACCGCTTGCACGGACCCGCGCATCCAGGCGTATCGCGACA